TATGGATATGTGGGTGCACAAATTCCGAATGAGTACATCTAATGGTGCTATTATCTGGCCTACTGATTAGTGAAGGGGGTCTGCCAAATGGGAGGATGTGATCTTTCCTCTCTCTACCCTACATTATGTCATTCAGGCACATTTTCACAATGCAAATACAAAATACCATATATTGGGGAAAGAGAGAGAATGGGGACATGGACAAATATAATATTTGTAAGGAATTCAAACGAGGGTTGTTTGGGCTGGATAGATACTCATTCATTAAGCAGAATCATAATTTTGTTTTTCGGTCAGCAGTTAGATGTGTATGAGGGATTTCTTTTAAGTGGAAATGTTTAGGGGCCTAATTCTTATGAGCAGAAGGGATATGTTTCCAAGAATGCACTTCACTTCACTCAGTTTTATGCAGGGTTACTTTGCGAAGACCCTACAGTGTCTTCCAAAGGTTATATTTAGCTTCAAAGAATGCAAGTTGTTGTTCCCTATAGAGGCAGGAAGCTCTTACCAATTTAAATGTAAAACATGTTAACAGCAATGTGTTCTCTTGCTAGAAACAAAGGCAACAGGGGCTCATGAAAGGAAGACACAGGAAGAAGCTGCTTAAAATGTTTGCTTTTTTTTCCCCCTTCCAAAGCAAAAATAGCAAAAAAACAAATGGAAAGGGACTTAGAATGCAGAAGAAAAGTTTGGAAGATGTTGCTAGAAAAGTGACTTGTTTTTCTAGCCTTTCCATCTGGATTCTTCCTATAAGCTACTCATGAAAGAGAGAGGAGAAAGGGATTTTGGAAAATGTTTACAATGTGCTTTTAGCCCCTGAGGCACAGTGGAAAGCGAAACTCTAGGCACACTTGGCATGTCAAGTTAGGTCAACTCACACTACAGGAATACATAACCTTGATGCATTTTGATGTGGTCTTATTGAATTGAATGTCCTGCAAAACAGCTGCAAGGTAGAATTTATAGATTAGGAAGACCGAGAACAACATTTTCTACAATTTTACTTTTTTTTTTTTCAAGAAATGAACTTAAACCAAACATGGATAACATCCTAACACAGTGGCATTTTGACACACTTTAATGTGATAGAGAAACAGAACCTAAAGGAGCAAACTAAATTCTAGGAGCATCTGTAAGGTTTCATTATTTTCGATAGGGTCTTAAGGAATTATTTCATGAGCAGTTGTCCATGTATGGCAGGGAGGTAGATTTATCAGACTTAGCATTGGAGATTGGCTTGCAGGAAAACACTTCCAGAGTCTCAAGGTTTCTTGAGGGTTTCTGTGGTGGTTCAAAGAATTCTCTCATCAGCAACAAAAGTCATGATCAGCAAGAGGCAAAGAGTTCTTTCTAGCTCAGGGTAGAATCAGGGAACGTAACGGTTGGAAAGGACTTTGAAGATCATATAGTCAACTTCCCTCCCCAGCACAGAGATGCACAATAATAGCATCTCCAGTGAATGTCCATCCAGCCTCTGTTTAAACACCTTCATTGACAGAGTCCGCTACTTTCTGAGGCATTCATTTCCATTGTTTAGCAACTCCCTGGTAGGGATTTTTCCTGAAGTTCAACCAAAACCTACTTTCTTGTAATTTAAACCCCTTATTTCTTGCCCTGTCTTCTGGAGCAGCTTTGACCCATTCTGCTTTATCTTCCAATGAGAGCCCTTCAGACACTTAAAGAGAGGATAATTTCAGGGTTGCCTATAAGTGGGCTAGAAGGAAGTCATAAAGTGTCTCCTACTTGAATGCCTTGGTGTTTTGTTTTTTCTCTCTTTCAATTTAATGAAAACAGGTTGTTTTTTAACTCTTATTTTTCCAAATAAGAACATCATCTCAGATCAATGTGTGAGGATCTGCTTACTTTAATTACACAGTGCCCTGCAATCAAATCACTACCAAAAGACATTCTTAGGTATGATCAAAAGAAAGAGGACAGATTTTGGATAGGATTAGTTACAGTATAATGTGTTATAGACTCTACACTCATGGCTTTAAATTACCCAATGTACTATTTCCCCCTTTATTCTAGTTTATGAACACAAATCAGCATATTTGATTCAGATAACTTAGAAGGTGCAGAGTAAAAAAAAGGAATAAACATTATAAGACAACAGTGTAATACAAACCATATACGTTTCTTTTCTTTTTTGTTTCCAGGTACAAAATTTCATGCTGTATCCAGGGGGAAGAGTGATTTATAACCTTGCTAAGATTAGACAGAAAAACAGAACTGTTTGACACTGAACACTTTTTAATTTTCAAAGGCTTGCACCAAAATAACATCTAAGCGTTTTAAAAAGAGAAAGAGTGGAAGAGAGAGAAGAAAACAGTTTTCAGACATCATAAAAATGTTGAGCATGAAATGAGCTCTTGTGGGGAATAGCAGTATGTTTTATACTGGGGAGAACGGGGATGTAACAGAATTCCAGTATGGATCCTGCTGGGAGTGAATTATATTGTTATGTTCAGAGAAGATCCAGAGTATGTAGGTATGAATTTAGGCTAGTCATTTTCTTCCCCTGAACAAAAATCCTTTCTTTTTAAAAAAAAGTATGAAGAGGCCAGTCCTCTGAGCTTTTTGTTTTTAAAGCAAAATATGTCCCAGTCATAGGAGTAGAGAACTCTCTACAAGGACAGCTGCTTGTTTTCACGGCTCTTTGGAATGACCATTTGACTATCAGTCAATCTTGGTAAAATCAAAGAAAAAACCAGTTGGATTGCAAAAGTACAATCCACTTTTGTCTCTAAACAGTCTGAAGACTGTATATTTTGTTTCATTTTATTATTTTATTGGAAATCTGGGCCTAAATCCAATCAGATTGATAGCAATTCACTTATTCCTAATGGAAAGAAGGAAGGGATGGCAGAACAATACAGGTGGATGAATGTAGTAATTTCAGTTTCTTCTTCATTTGTTAAAATATACACACGAACACATTTGGAAAAAAAAATGTGATTTTTTTCCCCCAGGTGATGAAAATTATAAAACTATTTAACCAGTCAGAATAATACATTCTCAACCTGCTAGTTTTGCTTTTTTCCACATGTATCTTTGAAAACATCCTCACCCAAAAAGACCCCTTAACATCTTCTGAACTGCTACAAATTTCTTTATCAGAAAATATTTTCTGTGAAAACTTCTGAGATTGTTCTCCATTTTTGTAGTCAGCACCAGTCTACAGCATACACATGTGAATATGCTCCCAGTTTATTCTCTTTTAGTTATTTTATTTTGTTTTCAACTACCACACAGAATAACTGAAATTTCACCACTATGTTTCTTCTGTAGCTAAAACAAATAAGGTCTCATTTTGACTCATATTTACTATTAATCATTTTCCTTCAGTGAACTGTCATCTTTCCCACTTCAGTCTTCTAACATTATTCTTATAGCTTTCCACTCAAAATTTGCATTTATTCTCATACATAAAATGCAGAATGGGGGGAGAGGGGATTACACAAAAATTGATCTGCTGTTCCTTATGAACAGCAGATGGTTTGGGTTTTTTTAAGTTGTCCAAAACAAATTGACTCTGAAAAAAAATAAAAATAAAACCTCTTTCCTCCTTATTTTGGCTATAATTTGGCCTACCTTGAGGGTACACAGATAATAAATTTAAATATATCTTTTTCCCCCCTAAATATTTCAGCCATGAGACAATTACATTTTATATGACTGGAGAATATTGCATTTATAATGGTCTTCTGTTTTCTAAAGAGTTATGTTTTAAAAGTTAAAAGAAAAATAAATCCCAGCACTATAAACAGAATGAGAAACAAAGATTTTAAGGAATATTCCTCATATGGAACAGGAGCTATCTTGGCCTTAATCATTCTTCTACCATTCTTCTCTTGATAATATTTAGCTACTGCTAAATTTATATTCACATATTTAATTTATACATATTAATAGCAATGTTACAGAATTGTTGCATAATACCATTGTGCTTTCTATAATCAAATGGGCTTGATATTCTGAATCTGTTCAGTTCCACTTCCTTGCTTTTGACCCCTCCTTTATATGGTCCAAATTAAGTACAGTAGAACCAGCCATGTTTTTATGTTAATATGTTATTTTAAGCCAGTTATGGTCCCAGAAGAGAGAATTATTGATTTATCTTATCAACATTTTTTTAAAAAATTATCACAATATTTCAGAAGTTCCATCATAAGAAACTTGGTATTTTTTGGTGTTTCTTTAGGTGATTGTCACTTGAATTTATTTCTGGTGATAATCCTCATGTGAAAAGATTATCCTTTCTCTCCCATCAAGGTACCTCATGGGAAAATTTATTTGGTTTCCCTGGATATCTGAGCTGGAGAAGGGATGGAAAGCATGGTTAAACAAAAGGTGATCTTTTCTGTTTCAAACCACAGGTCCATCTAGACTCATGTCTTCATTTGTAGACTATCAAGCAAATGCCTCTAGGACAGTGATTCTCAACCTCAATAACTTTAAGATGTGTGGACTTCAACCCTGGGAATTCTCTAGCCAGCATGTTAAAGCATCTCAAAGTTGTCAAAGTTGAGAAACACTGCTCTAGAAGAACAGCAGCTCATTAAAATAATCATAGTTCCCCATGGCTTTTGCCGAAACATAGCAGTTCAATGACACACTACTTCCAAACATCAGTGTTTCATTAACTCCTATGGTTAGCAGCCCTTCAACCAAATTGTTCTAAACTGTGAGCCCAGGCATATATTTTAAAGCAAACGAAGTAGAGCAGTGAACAAGGTCAAAGTACTCCAGCCAATGGTTAAACTAGCTTTGTCAATAATTCAACTAATTCAATGTCATAGCCTTCAAAAATGACTTCAGGAGCACAGACAACTCGTCTGTCTTTCAGCACTAACTTAGACAAACAGCAGCTTCTTTTCAGTGCAGTCATATCTCCACAGCAGTCTCATTTCAGGCACTGAGAAATGAACAGAGATATTCAAACCTAGCCAGCGCAATAGTTCAGCTCCAAATTACTGCTATACGTGAAAGGCAATGGCTCCATTAGATGTTTGGAAGTTATGGCTTACAGTGACACTGGTGGTGCAGGACTCCAAGTGAGTGACCCGTCAGAATCATCACCATCAGGTAATTGGATGAACTACTGCCAAGGTTCAAGGGAATCATAAAGCATTTGCCATTATTCTCAAAGATAAGACTTTATCCATGACACATAATCAAAAGGGTATTACTTTTTAAAGATAAATACATCATGGTATGCTGAGATGTACATCTAATGAACTAAGATGAAAACCTGACCCTTGACATTATGAGATGTTACTATTAGAAGAGAAGCCATTGATTTTTGGGGGGGTCCAGTCTGAAAATAATTGTCTTAGATACACCATCAATTGTTTATACGTTGAACTTTCTAATGCCAGAATTATATATTTTCCCTTCCATATATTTCAAAGACAAAGGAAAATAGAAAATGGCTAACTTTGGGCTTTGATGAACTTCAGAATCAATGCAAGGGTTTTATTTTGCGTGGAAGACAGTATATCAGAGTGGCTAAGTATATGAGTTGTGATTCAGAAGCTCCGTGGCTTTAATTGTATTTCAAGCATGAACTCCCATTCCATGGTCTTACACAAGAAGATGAGCTTTTGGCTTTTGATGAAGCAGAATATAGGAACAATAATACAAATAGCTCTTTGCAGGAACAGAAAAGGTAATATCTACTTTTAGCGCCAGACAAACACTGGTATTTAAATACATCTTTATACAGAGATATCCATCTATCACCTATAACATCTCTCTTTTTTTCAAGATATACATTTCATGAATATGTACTGATACTCTTTTGAGCTCAGAACATTCTGAAAGGCCAAAGCCTATCAAACAACTAAGATTTTGTTTTGTTTTCTGCACATTCATGTGAGATTTCCTGCTTTTTGGTACATTGTGAAAAAAACATGGGAACTGGTATTGTCACATGAAAGGAACCCTGAGGATTTCATAGTATATGTATGTACTGCAGATGTAG